CAGAGGATAGTTCAAGTACTAGGCTCATTCAATCCTCTGTGCCCTTTTCTAAGTCTGATAGCAAGGGCTGGTGCTGCGTAGGCCAGAAATGAAAGTCTTAAAGATAGAAGAAAACACATGGTTCATTTTGCAAAGACTGCCACCAGGTTGCTTTTCTTTTGGGTCAATGTGGCTTTAGATCCTTGATCTTGAGGTGGAAAACTCCACGAATCTCCTGAGCCATCAAATCCCACCTCTGAGGGGATTATTCATATTCCAGAACTCAAAATGATCTCGGTTTTGGAAACATACCAATACCCTTTGCTGAATGGTTCCACTCCTCTGTTCTTTTTCCTTTCTGACAACGCTTACTTTGAAGTGAATAGTGCAAAGTAGCACTTGAGGCAGCGGAAGAGGACTCCATCACCCAAAGTGCTTACTACACCTGAAAAAAAACCCTTCCTCATTATTGCCCCAAATCCATACAGGCTGCTTTTCAAAGCGAGGTAGTAAAAGTACCAGACTTCAGCAGGTTCCAGTTAAAGAAGGCCTAATCCAAAGTGCACTGAAGTTAGTAAGAGACTTCTTGTCTCTTTGCTGTTGGGGCTTGGACCAGACATTGGTGTCAGAAATGGTACCTTTTAACACGTGCAGACATTTTAAGGCAGTCACTGCAGCAGGAGTGCTGGGGGTCTTCCTGCATCACTATCAGCTCTACTGATCTTTCAGCTCTCCCCAACAGCTTCAAAGGGAAATTGCCAATTCATCTTTTTTCACAACTAAAATGCTAGGTTCAGAAATGAATTCTGCTAAAGCACATACTTCTTTTTTTAACCTGGAAAGATATTTTGAAAGATTATTTCCATTTCCAGCAAATGTTCCTTTTTCTCAGGAAATCACTTTAAAAAGACATTGTATTCAGGCCAAAAAATGCCAAATCATGTGGGATTTATTTTTAGGTCTACTTATCAGGTGATGGAAAGACACCTTGAAAGTCAAAATTCTTCTGATTTAGTGAAATCTGGACAAAGCTTTTGAATATTCATTGTAAATAGACAAAGCTTTTAGGAACTGCCTTTTCAGCTCTACTACTATGCCTTGACATTAGTCTACGGCTACAGAGACTGTAAAAGCTTATAAACAGATTAGCGCTCAGAGATTTTTTTTTATTTCCAGTAAGAAACAAAATTGGCAGCATGACCACATTTAGCATCAGATGACTGTGCCTTCTATGTTCTTTGAATATAATATGACTTTGTTTATTTTTCCAGCCTTTTGCAAAATGTTTTATTCCATAGACCAATGACTGTCATAACACGACTCAAGATGGAAATTTCCCCCGCATCATCTGAGAGAAGCAGCTCAAAGATGACTGCATTTTCGTTTTACTCTATGCTCCAGACACTGTTCAGCACAGCGTAAAGCCTCCTTGACATGGTTCTGCCCTGAGGAGATCCCTCCTTTGTGATCATCCATGCTGCTTTATACAGGTGGGAAGTAGTGCTCTTAGACCTTGCCTATTGCTATGCTGAATCCACTTGTACTCACAGAGTAAAAAACAGCTTTTCTAAAGCCTACTTACCACTTAGGAGAGCTAAGCGGGATCTCAAAGTCTCCTTTATAGGCCCAGGAAGAAAATCAATGACTACTTTTTCCAAGGACTAGATTTTAAGCCAGCCATTTCAGTGGAAGGTCCAGCAGGAGCCACCTTTATGCTTTCCTCTCTCAGGGCTCCTAAACATTGCCATAAATAAGTCAATACCATTTTCACTAGAAAAGCTTTTTCAATATCAGTTAAGAAACCCAAACACACCAGCCAGCAGTTGCTGCTGGCTACCCTTTGCCCCTGCATCCAGGGGCCAGCCCGAAGCCTGGAGCGGCCATGCGCCTCACTGCACGGGATGAGCAGTGAGGGACCAGTCCTTGTTGGGGGCTGCCCCTGGTTGCCAGCCTGCCCCGTGCACCAGTGGTGGGGGCACAGCAGGCAGGGAGCACAGCAGCCCCCATGCAAGGTCCCCACCATCACCCAGACTGGTGGCGTAAGGGAGCTGAAGCAAAGGGAGAGCCAGGGAAATTAGTTCACGGAGTTGCCTCACTCCTGAACAATACTCAAGTCGCAGGCTTGTCTACGAGTGAGATTTAAATAAATAACATTTGCTCCCAAATTAGCCAGAGAAAAATAAACATTTTAAGACCTTTTGGCTGTCCTAAGAGAGAATAAGAGGCCTTGCTATACATCTGAAGAATTAAACTGTCTTAATTGCATCCTTGTGCAAAATAAAGCATTACATACAGAAGAAAACTATTTTTAAGTGGATGGAAAAATCCACTGGGATAAAGGAATACTACTGTCAAGTTAAATGTGTCCTTGCATTTGTGTGGTGCAAAAACAAATTTAATAAAACTGAAGAGTCTAATAGGAACATTTCCACGAATTTAAAAATAACAGCAATGGAAACAATCTCATAAAATAAGTAAACCTCTGCCTTCAATATTTGCAACTCAAGTATTACTGCATTAATTTAGGGCCTGGGAATGTGAAAGTAACTATAAATTATGAATTAAGTGCTTTGTTCTACAACATGAGAGGCCAGGTTTTAAATTCCTTGTCTAGCCGTGGCTCCTGTAATTTCAGTACCACTGCTGGGATGCAGAATTCAGCCCACTTAAAGACCAATTTAAATGGAGAAATTACCTGATACGACACTCGCCCATCAGGTTTCCAGTGGCCCATAGCAGATATACAGAAGGACACCTGAATTGTAAGGAAGGCTTCCTTGGCATGACACTTCACACCTACTCCAGGCTGTTTTCTTAACCATTAGAAGACTCTAAATATACTAGCTATGGATAACCTGACATTGGTCTTACAAATGAAGAACATGAAATGCAAAGTTCACCCAAAGAAGGCACCATGGACCCACAAGTGTGCCCATCGCACTGCTTTACCACCTGGACTGGTTACCTTTCCAGAACACTGCGCTCATGCTGGGTTAACTGGGGATGACCCCTTGGAGACTAGTCGGTGTTAAGACTTGGTCCATGCTGGCTCGGAATAAGACAAGGTACTTGCACTTATGTTGCCAGAAGCCAGCTTCTTTCTCTCAATCACGTTTTTAGTAGTTTCTCCTGCTCCCCATCTCCAGCTTTCATTCCTCCAAACTGCTGCCAGGGACATTGCTTTGCCCCTCTTCCCTAACGTGCAGACCACACTTCTGCCCATCTCACTGGCAGAACTGTTTCAGAGCCCTCAACACACTCATTACGCTGGGTCGTGCTCATATAGATTTGCCAAATGTCTGTACACCTGCTCTAGGGTGGTTTTCAACCAAAAAAAAAGAATATGCTAGCATTGAAGCATCATGAAACAGAACAATAAATAAATCCCAAGACCTAAATTGATGTACATTGTTTATTTGGGATTTGTTGATAGACTTAAACTCTGTAAGTAGCCATAATAGGATATGATTAGTTAAGATCTGAGTGAGGTATAACAGGATCATGATTTACTGAAGGTCAGGACTGTATACAGAAGATTAAACCCAAAATACCACCAGATTGCTTAGGGACCTGCAGGAGTTGAACCTACCAGGATACGTTATCTGTTTCCATGCTTCTGAAAAACAAGGCAGAGAGGATTCCCTTAAAATCTCTCTCTTTCCTAATTTCCCAGATGTCTTGCAAAATTTGTGTATAGGAAGAATTAAAAAAAAAAAAAAAGGCAGTAAAGTTCATTCTTGCCCCAATAAAGACTTCTGACAAGGTTGTTAAGATGTTAAATTATATGGGGCAGATCTTGTAGAATGGGAAGTTACTTGGCAATGACTCTGCAGATTAAACAGTCTACAGTAACTTGCTCATAAATAGACCTTGAAACCCTGCATCCAAACTTTGTTCCTCATTTACTGTACAACGAACTGCTCAGGGAGAATTACAATGTATTCTGCCTCTTATCATCAGGCCCGAGAGAGCAGCTGGTCACTTCCATCGCTTTTGGATACATACTCTGTGGACTGATCCCCACTTACCTGTCAGCAAAAACCTCAGTGGTTTCTTGCAGCAGGAAGAAAATCTCCTTGACAGGAGGGAAGAAGGAGAAAAGCCCAAGCTTTACTGTTCTTCTGGGTAAAATCTAACCATCACTGGTGGTACAATTACAGCTGGCAAAGAACTGGGGATAAGAGCGTCAAAGCTGCCCCCGTTAGGTGCAGAAAAGCTGGTAGAAAGCAAATGAGCCTGGTGGGTGGCACAAGCTGGAAGGATAGTAGTGGGGAGTTCATCTTGAACAGAAAAGGCCTGCAAGTATCAGTACACCATTGGGCATGCAGTGGTCAGAGAAAGGCGTCTATGACACTTGACTTAAGAGTAAAACTTCTGTGAAACAAGATCCAGAGCACAGTACAAAGACTCAGCAGGCACCTGTTGTCTCCCAGTTTATTAGCTGAGACAAACACGGACAGATAGAAGTTGTCTCAGTTTTTAGGCACCTTCTCGCTCTGTTTGCCAGCTCCTGCCTATTCTCTGAGCATTTTTCTATTGCGTGTCTTCTCCGAGAACTCCCCACCCATGCCATGCTAAGAGACAACATAGGTGCACGGTGCCTGTCTCCTTGCAGAAACCTACACCCATTAAATAGTAATGAGAGAAACCCTCACAGGTACACTAAGTTCCTGTTACTTCCACTTAGGGCCAGTTTCAAAGGCAGGCTGAGGTGGCAGCCATCTATCCTAGCAAGAAATTGTATGTTCTAAAACATTTATAAACGTGAAATTAGCCGCTTGCAATAACTGTCGTAAAATTGTTAAATTAGTAACAGTGATTACTTTCATTTCTCGCTGGGATATCAGGGAACTAGCACGGAACAGCAGTAAAAAAGGCTTCTACATAGTCCAGAAAATAGGCTAAACCAAGTGTTGCTCTTGCAATGAAACCAGAAACCTTGCTGAACTCACTGCAGGGCCTCCTGCTTGCAAGGACTTTTAAGTGTCACCCTATATCCCCAC